GTTTGGGAAGTTTTGGGACACACTGTGGGACATCTCCCCACTATTACCACATCCCAGCAGCCAGGGGCTTCATCCCAAGGTGACACAGGAATAGGGGATGTGCAGAATGGCCCTGGTGGTGTTTGGGGTGAGCTCTCTGGGGCTGGGGTCAGCAGTGGTGACGTGTCCTCGCTGCCACAGGTGCCCGTGTCCGTGGCCATGATGTCCCCGCAGATGATCACGCCGCAGCAGATGCAGCAGATCCTGTCCCCGCCCCAGCTCCAGGCCCTCCTGCAGCAGCAGCAGGCCATAATGCTGCAACAGGTAAGGCTGATTCCCAGGGGATTCCCACCSAGCTCTGGGAATGTTTGCTGGAGGCAGAAAAATGGGTTCTTTCCTCCTTGGCTTCTTCCCTTCCCCAGTATTTCCTTTGGGATTCCCGGCACGTCCAGGGATGGAAAAAGCTGCGGGGGCTGGCGGTGCTGATGCTGCCATCCTGAGCCAGGGTCTGAAAATCCAGAAAATTGCTGCAGGGGGGCTGATTTGGGGTTGTCCAGGGGGTCAGTGTGGATGCTCTTGGCTGGCTGTGCCCTGAGCAGAGCCCCTGTGGCCACTGCAAGGCTTGGGGCAGTGCCCATGTCCCTCTCCAGAGCTGAGCTTTATTTCCCATGACCCTGCTCGGCTTCTCCAGTCAGAYTGGGGAGGGAAGAAAAAGGAGGAGAAGGGAAAAAAAAATTATATTTCCACTCYGAAGCAAAACAGGCCAGCTTGGGTAAACAGGAGGAGGGAGAGAGGGAGAAACCCCACAAGCATCCTCCACACCCTTCCTCCTGCCTCCAGTACCTGTTTACTCCAAACACGCTGATAAGGATTCAAGGTTGGCCCCGGGGAAAGAACAAAGGGTAAACACTACCCTGGGTGGGTCCTTCCACAAAGCCTCTCTGGAGCCGGATAAAGAAACACGTTGGACTGCAAATTAAACAACCCAGGCCGGAATAGCTCACATTCTCCACCGGCAGCAAACCAAACATCACACCTCTCACCCCTGACCCAATGTTCCTGCTCGCAGCCCCGGCTCGGGCTGGCTCGGGGGTAAACAGCCGGCCCCTCCGAACCTGTTCTCCGGCACAAACCAGCCCCGGGGCTGATAAAAGATTCCCGGGGACATTCCTGAGCCCTTCGAGGCTGGCAGGGGGCTCTGGGGTCTCGCTGAGCTCCCCCTGTGCTTCTCCCGCTGCTCTGCACGCAGAAAATCCATCACCCACTGTTCATTTTGGGCTGGGACGATGGTGCCAGGTCCCAGAGCTGTCCCCTCCTTGCACATTCAGGGTCAGGGCGATGGTGGCAGGTCCCAGAGCTGTCCCCTCCTTGCACATTCAGGGCTGGGGCGATGGTGACAGGTCCCAAAGGTGTCCCCTCCTTGCACATTCAGGGCCAGGGCAATGGTGGCAGGTCACAGAGCTGTCCCCTCCTTGCACATTCAGGGCTGGGGCGATGGTGCCAGGTCCCAGAGCTGTCCCCTCCTTGCACATTCAGGGCTGGGGCGATGGTGGCAGGTCCCAGAGCTGTCCCCTCCTTGCACATTCAAGGGTTTGTCCCTTTTTTCCTGGCCCAGCTCTGCTTTGGCTGAGGGGTTTCAAGGCTGAACCCCCCCAACCCACAGAGCAGAGATTGGGGCTGCTCCTGCTCCTTTCTCAACTGGGACCTCCTGGCTCTCATGGCATTTGCAGCAGTGTTTTGGGRTCCCACCGTGCCAGAAATGGGGTTTCCCCATGGCTGAAATGCTGTGTGAAGTGCCAGAGCACCCCAGCCTGCTTTTCTCTCAAGGGGCAGYGGGGTTGGCATTAAATAAACAGCAAAGTGGGTGTCGGTGGGGTTGGGGGGGTTCACTTGCCACGGGGACCCGGAGCCCCCCGGGAATGGGTGCCCAGGGCTCCTCTGGGGGGGTCCTTCCTTCCCACCCTGCACCAGGGGACCTTGTGACAGTGGCTGGGGATGGCGGGGTGGGAATGGGGTGGTAATGGGGTGATGGGGTGGGAATGGGGTGGGAATGGGGTTAGGGGATGGGAATGGAATAATGGGGTGGGAATGGGGTGATGGGGATGGGAATAGAGGGAATGGAGTTAGGGGATGGGAATGGGATTAGGGGATGGGAATGGGTGGGAATTGGGTGGTGAGGTGGGAATGGGATAATGGGGTGAGAAGGGGGTGGAGGGGTGAGAATGGGATAACAGGGTGGGAATGGGGTGATGGGGTGGGAATGGGGTAATGGGGTAGAAGTGGGGTGGGAATGGGGTGGTCAGGTGGGAATGGAGTGGTAATGGGGTGGGAATGGGGTGATGAGGTGGCCATGGGGTGGTTCCCCTGCTGATGCCCATCACTCTCTCCCCTCCCCAGCTGCAGGAATACTACAAGAAGCAGCAGGAGCAGCTTCACCTGCAGCTGCTGACCCAGCAGCAGCAGCAGCAGCAAGCCGGAAAGCAGCAACCCAAAGAGGTGAGCTCAGCTGGAGAGCTGGCACCAAAAAATCAAAAACGAGGTGTGGGGGACCCCCAGCACCCCAGGAGCCCGTGGGGATGGGACACAGCAGGTTTTGCTGTCCTTTCCCCCAGTGATGCCCCCCGAGGGGTTGTGGCTGTGTTTTGGGTCACACAGACCCACCCGGTACTCAGCATCACTCCCATCCTTGTCCGTGGATATTTTCGCCCCTCTGTCTTCCCAAAACGCAGCACATGAGGTTTTTTTGCCTTTTTTGGGGGGTTTTAGCAAAATTCACATCTGGCATCGCTGCCCCTCCACTGAGTGTCCTTTCACAGGCTCCCAATAACAAGGGATGTGTTGGTGGAGCCACCCCTGGCTCAGTTTTAGGAAATTGGGGTGCTGGAGCTGTTGGTGACCATCACCCCTCCCAAAATCCTTCAGCCTGATGGACACCCTGCACTTCAAATTAAGCTTCTTTTGCAGGAAAAGAAGATTTTAAGCCCAGATCTTGTGTTGGGGTGGCACAGACACGTTGGCATCAGGGTGGCCGGAGTGGCTCGGGGTGACACTAGGCCCTCACTATGGGGTGTCGGTGCATTTATAGGGTCAGGTTTATCAGAGCCATCTCCAGGAGCTGCTGGTGCTCCAGGAAACGGGGGGAGGGATAAATCTGAGCTTCCTCAAGGACTTTCCCGCTGGCCCTGGYGCTGTTCTCTTGCAGCACCGAGCAGGGATATAATTAAGCTGGAACAAAGCGCTCGCTTTAGCGGGCTGCGCTTTAAAAAGCACATGTTAACTTTTAATTAAATGGTGCAGAGGAGATAGGAAATTTATCCAACAAGAAAGAGAGGCTGGAGGGGAGAGGGAAGGGGTGCTGGGTGCTGCTGGAGCRGGGTGTGTGCCCAAAGCACTGGAGGGGTCCCAGCAAGGGGATGGAGGTGTTTCCCCTCCTCAGAATCCTGGGATTTTGGTTTCACCACCAAAATTCGGGTGGCCGGTGTTCATAAAGTCCGTGTTCGTCTTTGCCCGTTGGAATGGCGATGCCTGGAGGTTCAGGGAAGGGCTGGAGTGTCTGGGATGCCTCCTTGGAAACCCGCAGCAGGATTTGGTTCCAGCCCCGCTGCAGGATTTATAAACCCAGCAACTCCTGCTCCCCCTCTGCCCGATTCCCAGGGCTCCTTCCATGGGTCAGCAGGTGGGAACAGGGCTGGGAAGGAGCCAAGATGCTCAGATGGAGAGGAATGGATCAGATCTGCCTGGCTGGGGTTGCCCCAGGGAAGGGGAGCACAGACAGGAGGATGGGAAGGTGTGGGAAAGGTTTGTCAGCAGCATCCTGTCCCGGGGGATGCGGGGATGCTCTGTGTCCATGGGTGCTGAGCCGCAGTGGGGCACCGGGAAGGGGCTGAGCCATGAATTCGTGGATCCTTGAATCCCTCAGTCCATGAATCCATGAACCCCTCAATCCATGAATCCATAAATCCATGAATCCTGCAGGATCAGGCTGAGTCAGACATCAGATCCATGAATCTCACCAGGATTGGGCTGAGCCAGGCAGAGGATCCATGAATTCCTGAATCCATGAGTCCCTCAACCCATGAATCCATTAATCCCTCAGTCCATGAATCCATGAATCCCTCAGTCCATGAATCCCTCAGTCCATGAATCCATTAATCCATAAACCCATGAATCCATTAATCCCTCAGTCCATGAATCCATGAATCCCTCAATCCATCAATCCCTCAGTCCATGAATCCATGAATCCCTCAATCCATCAATCCCTCAGTCCATGAATCCATGAATCCATAAACCCATGAATCCTGCCAGGATCAGGCTGAGTCAGACATCAGATCCATGAATCTCACCAGGATTGGGCTGAGTCAGACATCAAATCCATGAATCCCTCAATCCATGAATCCTGATGGGATGAATGCCTGCTGGGCCAGGCAGGGGATCCATGAAACCATGACTCCATGAATCTCACCAGGAAGAGGCTGGGCCAGGCAGTGGATCCATGAAATTTCACCAGGATGGGGCTGAGCCAGGCATCAAATCCATKAATCCATGAATCTCACCAGGACTGGGCTAAGCTAGGTGGCAAATCCATGAATCCTTCAATCCGTGAATCCCACCGGGATGGGGCTGAGTGAGGCTGCTGATTCATGAATCCATGAATTTCACCAGGATGGGGCTCAGCCAGGCATGAATCCATGAATCCCACTGTGATGGGGCTGAGCTGCAGCACATCCCAGTCCATCCCGAGC